GACCAGATTTTAAACACTGGTCTGCCTAGAAGTGGTTGATTATTTACATATGCTGGAAAAGTAGAAACACTGATGTTTTTTTCCAGTTGAGTTCCAGCTCGTGCTGCAGCCCAGCTGTCACATGGACTCCACAGACTGACAAATGCTGACTGGTCCTGCACACAGAGACCCCCAGCGCTGCTCTGATAAGCCCCAAGGGCTGGGATGGGGCAGCTGCCACTGGCACCAACCCCGGCTCAGGGTTCTCCTCAGCACTGGCTGCACTGCAGGACCTTGGTGATAAAATCCTCCCTCTTCCTCGAGAGCACCGATCCACATCCCAGTTTTCCCACTGTCTCCCCAGTCCTGCGTCTGTTCTCATCTCCAGCAACGATTCCAGGTTGCAGCTCTCTGGCTCCCCTGCCAGCGTGCCACGAGTGGGGATTTCAGCAGGAAGCTCAGCCCCAGCCAGAGGCTGTGGGATGGTGCTGGGAGGGAGGGAGAGCTGCCAAATTGGCACAGGCAGCAGGGAGAAAGTTTCTATTTTTGTTATACTTGTTCCAAGGGGGAACTGATACTGCCTGGGACAGAGCCAGGCATGTCTCGGGCTGGCAGCATGCAAAGCACCTCCACACTTACTGGGAGCTGCTCCACTGAGTTCACTCTCTCACCAGTGAGTTCAGGAGCAGCTGATCTTTCCCTCAGGTGTTCACCTCTCTGCCAAGGGCTGCAGTTATTGTTACCCTCCACCAAACACCTCCTGTGCTCCTTCCTCTCCTTTGGAAAATCATCAGTTTTGCTCATATGGCACATTATTTCTGTCCAGGGCAGAAGTGGCAGCTGCTTTGATCTTCAGTTCAAATAGAAAATAATAATTAATTATATAAAGGCAGGCAGGTTTTAAATGTTCTTTTTTTTTTTTATTGCTAGAAGTTGGTTTCAGTCCTATTGCAGCTCTGAAATCCTTCAGTGGAGAAACATTGCAATCATTGTAAAAATCATCATTTGGTGTGCTAAGATCAAGTTTACAATTAATCAAGAGTGCACAATTCAACAGAATATTAACATTTAACCATCGACTTTACAAATAAAATAAAGACTACAAAGATGTTGCTACTGCAGTATCAACAAGTAAAGGAAATATTTACAATGTTTACACCCTAACAAAAAAAAAAAAACCAAAACCAAACTCTTCCCCAACAAAATGGTCAATTTAACCATGCACCATGATTATTTATTAAATCTTTACAGTGCAAGGTGGGCCTAGAAACCAGACCTAAGACTAAAAGAGCATCAAGAAGAGTTCACAGCTCCGAGTGAGATGCACGCAGTGATGCCAACAGGATCTACGTCCACCAGAGGTTTTTTTTTTTTTCCTTCCGGGCACAAAAAAAAAAAAAAAAAAAAAAAAAAAAAAAAAAAAAAAAAAAAAAAAAAAAAAAAAAAAAAAAAAAAAAAAAATGGAATTTGAAATAAAACTTTTTTTCCTAAAGTGCTCCAATTGCTCTCAGTACAAAAATATAAAAAACTGATTTATAAACATGGCACAAATGTTATGAACCAGAGCTCGCACGAGGAGGAGGAACGAGCTGAGGGGGAGCGATGAAGTCGATGAAGTTGCTGGGCGGTTACGGAGATGTCGGGTCTGGTCTCAGAGCAGGAGAGCAGGGGAGAGGCTTGGCTTTAACCTACAGCACGTGTGTGTGAACCTGGCAACGAGATTTGTTTCCTTGTAGATGTGAGAGCTGCTGGGGAAGACAACAAAATCTCCAAATTCCCTTGCACGGGGGCACAACACACAGGGGAGCACCGGGGAGCCGCAGCTCCCAATCCGAAGAGTGAGGAGAGAAACAAAAACGGGGACTTTTAACCCTTTCCTAGTTTTTAAGTTTCAGCTTTCATCATAAATGCAAATGACGAACACCAAGCTCCATGTATGCAGGATCATCTGACTATTACTCAGCAAGACAAAACTGCCTGGAAATGATTTAGAAATGAGTCCTAACCGGGCAGGAATGCGAGGACCTGGGTGAGCAAAGCGTCTCTAGGGATACCAATTCTTCTGGGGGACGATGAGCGGTGTCAATTCGTGGGACAGGCCACAGCTACAATCCACAGACAGCACAGGTTAAAAACTAGGGAAGCTTTCACAACACACACACACACAGGGCAGGCGTGCTCAGCACTGGTGACCACGGAGGGATCCTCAGCCCGGAACGCAGGAATCCACATTCCAGGTGGGAAGAAAAAAAAAAAAAAAAGAGGAAGCCTCCTTTACACCAAAGCATCCAAATTGAAATCAGAACCACAGAAAGAGCCTCCACGCTGCAACAGCACAATATTTCAAGGACAAACATGCTGCTAATTTTTAGGCTGTGACACCAAGCAGACACGGGGGCAGTTCAAAGCTCGGGCTGGCGTTTCCTCCACACCCCATCTCAGGGAGAAGCCAAAAGGCACCTGGGAGGCACAGAATTCTGAACTGTCCAATCCTCAGAAATCACTTAAAAAGGAAACTTTTATCTGAAAGTGATCGAGAAGTCCAATGGAAAGGATGTGACTCAGGATCAGTAGCAGGTCACTTAGCCCAGGACACAGCAGTATATTTGCAAACTGACCTGCCTAGAAGAGTTATCTTCCTAGGACCAAGATTCGAGCCCAGAGTCCAAACCCAGTTCACTCAGCTGGAGTGGTTTGATGACAATTTCACAGGGTCGGTTTTGCACAAGTGAAGAGGCCCCTTGATTCATTTAAAGAAAACAATCCACTTGCTTCCCTCAGCCTTCCACGAATCACCTGCCATGCTCTGGTGGGGTGACCCTGCACCAGCAATGAGCTATCATCACAGCACCTGCTCATTCCAGAACCCTGGCTAAGCTGGGCCCATTTATTAACAGCCAAAACTTATTCAAAGTACCGCTGACAATGAGTATTAATACAATTATGTTCAAGTTAAAACATTGAAAGCAATGAGACCTCACTGCAGACTCTACTCTCCAGCTGTCACTGTTCTGTATTCAAATTCATCCACTGCACAGAAGTAGAAAGCAGCCAATGAGCTGCTCCAGCCACACTTTTAGGACAGGCACAAAATTAAACTAAAGAAATGTTTTCAAAAATTGTTTCCAAACACCTGAACTGACATCCCTTTCTGGTTGAGGTGGTTTATTCCACGGATGTGACTTAGCTTTAGGCTAAAACTCCTAAAACCCTGGTGATTTAAGGCAAAGGGGGCACTGAGTTTTCACTAGGAGAACGTGCTGTGCATTCCTGCTGCTTCCCTGGGTGCTTCCAGGAGAAATTCCACGGGAGCAGAGGTGTGACTGGACTGTTGGATCTCACACCGCTGGCTGGACTTTAAGAATTCCCCTCCCTTCCAACCTAACTTTCAGGAACACAAACCCGAATATAGGGTAGAATTATGTTCTAACCAATTATGTTCTAAATCACCACGTGTAAATTGTTCTGAATTTCCTCTCGCTGAGCTCAGTGCCATTGCCTCAGGTCTGCACCAGTATCACTCAGCAAAGAAAAAGACCCTTAAATCCAACAAGTGTTCCAGCAGGAGTGCTTGTCCCTAAGACCAATTCAGTATTTTGTGGCTTCTCTTTTCCCCTGACCGGTAAATTTAGGTTTTTCCATTTCTCGTTTGAAGACAACAACCCAAATCATCAGCACTTGAAAATAAACTCTGTGTTTTCTGCTGGAAATTTATAATGTTTCTTGCACTGTAACTACTGCAGTAATTTAAAAACTCTCAAGCAAAGTGAAGTTACAGCCTTAAAGACATTACTGTCATCACACAGGGCCTAACCAGAGACAGCTCAGTGATCTGAGGAGACTGGCAAATTCCACTGGATCCATTGCCATGGATGGAGAACTGACCAGGCCTTCCATCCACTGCTGCTAAAATCACCTTAAATCAGAGTTAAAAGATATAAAAATAACTAAATCATGCTCAGAAAGGTATACATCCAAGTTTTTAAGCTCTGAGATACTGATTTCTTTAATTCTGTAACAGTACCCCTAAACAATCTCTCCTGTGCATCATAAATCTGAGCAGTCACATTCAACATATCCCAGAATGCACATCCCTGGCTGAGGTGTGTAAAAAAGGATCTGAGATAACAGAGTGAAAAATACAACACAAAACAACTGTGCAAATAACTACAAAGGGAAATAATGCCTTTTCAGCAGAACACTTACTTGTCATCACCATCCCATGATCAAGAACTGACCCATTTAACAAGAGGTATCAAAGCTGGTTTAGCTGAAAGCAGCTAAACACAGGTTTAGCTAAGAGTATTTTTATTATTATTATTATTTAAATTTTAAAACCAAACAGTTCTTATTCCCTTCATTCCTAACACAATGCTGCAGAGAGGTCTCTGCAGTAACAGCAGCTTTGATATCTTCCGGTACTGGGAGTAAAGTCCCAACAAATTAACAGACAAACAAAAGATGCAGAAAACAGGATTAAACAAGACAATAAATTACTGCATTCAGAAGCTTCTTAGACATGTCTTCAGCAAAGAGCAAAGTCCAAGTCTTTGAGTTCATTCTGAACCGAGCCACGAGTGCTGCCTGGGTACCTGCACTGCTCTCACCAGCACAGACACAGATCCCAGTGCATGAAACGTGCACTCAGTCCAGCTCTCCATCACTGCTGTGAATCCTCACGTGTCCAACCCTCCTCCTCCTCCACAAGCAGATGGAGCTCCTGCCCTGAAGGCGCTGTCAGAAGCTCACCTTTCTCTTCCACTGTTCTCTTCCACCCTTCCCGGCCGCTGGGCTGGGGCCACTGGGCTCACAGTGCCCGGCACACGTGGCTGGAAGGAGACTGGCTCACTGTCACCTAATTACCAACGACCCAGTACTGGCCTGGACCTGCACCTGGACCTGGGAAAACAGATTTCAACATTTGCAGCCGTTCTGGGGCCTACCACTACAATTTTTTTTTTTTGTTTTTTACATAAAAAGCTGTGCGGCTCAGCATCACCGATAACCATTTACAATGCCCACAGAGGGTGCACATTCTCCAAGAAGAGCACATTGCAACAAATGGCAGCATTTTTGTGTTTTTTTTTACCGTGCTCTGAACTGATACACCTATGCCATGTGTCAATACATTTCCACGTCTAGAGAATTTGAAAGCAAGTTGTTACTACTGTGCCCTTGTTCTGAGCTGCTGGCAGAAAAGCCAGCAAGGTGGGACAGTTAATCCTGGTCTGGTCCTTGCTAGTGGTAACTGGGCAGGGATGAGAAGATGGGTGGGGTCTCCCTCACGGTGCACACTGGGGCCTGAGTTCTTGAAACAGTGTGCCAGGAGATTCATCTTCAAATGGAAACAATCAGAAGAAAATGACATCTTCTTTGCTGGTATCATCTTGCACATTCAACAGGCTGGGCTGAGAGGTCACCAGGGTCTGAACCTGAACGTTATTGGGCTTGAATAGGTTCGCTGAGGCAGGTGAAAGTGCTTCTGGCTGAGCATCTGTGGGGACATACAATTCTGGAGGGGAAAAAATGGAAGAAGACACAGTCATGACGCTGCAGAGAGAGCCTGAGGCATTCCCAGAGCCAGGCAGGCTGGCCAGGACGTACCTGGCTGGAATGCAGTGGTCTGGCTGCTCGGGAGGACTGGGCTCGCTGACCGCCTGCCCCTCAGCACACCCTCCTCTCGTGCAACAAGCCTGGGGGGAAGCAGCTGCTTCTGATCAACAGATGCTGGAAAAAAAAATTGTACAAATCAGTATTTGAGGTGAGCAGTACCTCACAAACCTCGCTGTTTCATGCTGGGGCCCACTGTACTGACACCTTGTACATCCAAGGAAGCTGTGATGCCACAGAGAGCTGGTCCTGCTGTTGCAAGTTAAAATTTCTCTTCAGCTGTTTAAACCATGAACACTTTCTCCTCTTCCTTGAGACTTCTAATTCAGTTACTGACAACCTCAGATTTAAACCCCAGTATTATCAAGCAGAGCAGAGAGAAACAAAATCTTCTGTAGCATTCAAATAGCAAGTGGCCATTTGTGCTACTTCCAACACACACAGAGCTGTGATGAACTTTTGTCTCTGCTCTCCATCTGTCTCACAGCTGCTCAGCAGCACAGCACATTGATTCTGCTCTCACAGCCTCCCAGTTCCTTAATTCCACAATAAAGGCAATTCATGAAATGGTTATTCTGGATCCAAAGAACTTCCCTCCCTCTCTCAGTACACATTCCTCACGTGTCACAAAACCCAAATTCAATACACACAGCGCTTTGCCTCTGGTACAGAAAGTTTTGTTCCATTTTTATTCCTAGATCTGCACATGGGCATGAGCAGCCCATTAATGCTCACAAGAGAATAGAGACCAAGGTATTTGTGGTTTATACCTTTCATATAAATTACAGAAAAACACCATTAAGTACATTTCCACTGCAGAGACCGTTATGTAAAAGCTATTAAAAATAAACTTGGGGAGATGTGGAATTGGAGCTTTATTTACCATGCAGGGGAAGAGGATATTAGGCTTCATTTAGGTGCAGAATCATAATGAAGTTTGCAACTGCACTAAACTTCAGACAGGACAGAAATGGATGTTTCTGCAACGTGCCAAAGCAGTTCCCCCTCCCCTCCCTGACAGCTTTGGCCCCCAGTCTGCTCTAGCAGTGCAGGCCAAGTCTGAATCCTACACAATACTAAAAAGATAATTTTATAACTTAGAATTACAGGCCATTCCCCTGAGCTGGCAATAAGGCTATTTTAAGGGGTAGACACAAAGTGGTTTTTGCTGCCTCTGTCATTGGCAAACATCACTACTCCAGTACCCAGTAGTCAGCAGCAGAAATTACACCAGGACAAGGGTGACTGTATTTTTACTTGCTTCTATTTGGGACAAAATTAGCGCCTTCCAGCCCTACAACACACACAGCATCCCAATTCTGGCCCAGAGATCTGTATTTAATGACTGACTGGTGCTAAGAAAGGCACTGCATTCAACATCCCTACAGCTCTGGACAGATAGTAAGGGAAGGCTTAGCCAGCCTCAAAACATTTCACTTCTTTTGGTTTTGCTGTTTTCCTTTAACTTAGACAAGGGGATTTTACATCCAGGAGCACCACCTCTCACCATCATTCTGTCATGCTGGAAGACACAATTCCCTTTTCATCATTATCCCTTCGGGCTGTATTTCCAATTGAAACAGCACTGACATGTAAGTCCTAACAAAAGGGATTTTAACTGCAGCAAGCACACTAATAACTTGTGGCATATTAATTTCTGGGTTCTACAAGGTTCAAACTGCAGTGTTCTGTCTCCTTGTGATGCTGGCAGAGATCAGAAACGCCCTTAAACGGACTTAAACGCACACACACCTGAACTGTCCGTCCTGTGAGACGCTTTGCTCTTCCCACCTTTCTCCTTGCTTCCTTTGGTGAAGGTGGCCAGCTTGGTAGGGATCTGCTGCTGGACTGCAGCTGGTTTCTGGATCTGGTTGGTAGCACTCAGCAGATGTATTGGCACTTCGTTCTTGAGGGCCAGGGCGGGCCTGTTCTCCAGGGTGGTGCTGTCCCTGCGCACCAAGTCCGGCCGCTCCAGGTAATCCAGGCCGCCCACGCTCACTCGCACCGAGGATTTCGGCACAGCTGGACAGGGGTCCAGCCCTTCCCCGTTGAAGCTGATGGAATGACTCAGCATCTGGCTCTGGTGTGAGGAAAAAGGAGTTTTAAAGCAAATGGGGGGGTTTTCACCCTCTCCAGCACAATAAGGAGAGGTCACTCTCAACCCTGAGAACACAAAACGCTTCCTAGGGAAAGGGAGAATGGGTAAGATGAAGCCTGAAGCTTGCTGGGAAACAGGAGGAAGAGCAAGAGTGTGAGTCCTTGGACACTGAAAAGAACCTCAGCAGCCTCAAACTGCTTAATACTGAACCTAGGAAAGGAATGCAAGAGCAGACTGCACTGAGGGGTGACAGGATGGAAAGCAGGACTTTCAGATGGTACCCAAGAACCAATTTAATCAGACCTCGAAGTTCCCATTATGAAACACTGGAAAGTTTTTAAAAATCAACGGTACAAAATGCTGTAGATATTGCACAGCTTCTGCAATAGGGCAGTTCCTGATTTTAAAAAGTTCTCCGTCAGCCACAATCAAAAAATAACTTATTCTCCATTTCTATCTTTTAATAAAATAATATTCTCATTACCAGACACTGTCTGATAATTGTGGAATTTCACAGACACTGGGGAACTGCCAAGCTCTGATCCCTCTGACAGCAGCCACCACCAGCTATTTCAGATGGTGCTTCAAGGAGCCCAGTAAAATGCAAAAATGGGCTGGTGCTGTAACAAGTGCAACCTTTATTCAGAAGCAAGTACTTCAACAGAAATAACGCTCCAAGAAAACAAATTCCTCACCTGGCCCATTTCTGGGGAGAAGGTGCCTGACACCGTGTTCTGCTTCTTCAGCTTCCTCAGCTGATCCAGACGCTCCCTCTCCTTCTCCACTGCTCTCTGGGCTTCCCTCAGCCTCTCCAGGTTGTGCTGATAGTCGTCTTGCTGCCTGTCCAGCTCTTCCCTGTCCTGATTCACCTTCTCCAACTTCTGCCGAGCCTCCTCCTCGCGCTCCTGCAGCCGAGCTTCCCTGATTTCAAACTCCCTCTGCTGCCGACTCCTCTCCCGCTCCAGGCGCTGCTGCTCCAGCTTCAGCTGGTTCTGAAGCTTCTGGACATTCATCAGTTCCTCCCTCTGCTTTTCCAAGTTCCTCTGTTTCTCCTGCTCCAGCAGCAGATTCCCTCGGGTGGACTGCAGGCGGTATTGCTTTTCTGCCATGGTGGCGGTGGCTCTCTGCACCTCGATGTAACTGTCCTGCTGGGATATCACTGCCTGCAGGGGTTCAGAACACATGCACAGCTCAGCAGAAGGCAACAGCATCTACCAGGGTAGGTCACAGGGTCTTTTGTCCTCCTCCAGAGCAGATCTAAACTCCAGCTTGTGCAGCCCACGGTGTCTGACACGGTATCGAAGGTGGCCAAGCAAATAAATCATGCTTATCTGTGCCAAAGTGAATGTTTCTTGCACCTACAATTGTTACCCCGACTCCAATTAGTCAAAATATTGCTGATTACAAGGCTGCAGCAAAACCAACTAATGTAGACACACATGGACATCAACAACTTGAAATGAGCACACCGAGCAGATGGAGCTCAAGGCAGCAAAAGAATTAAGTGGGCAGGAAAAAGGAAACAGTTACTTCAGACAACTGCTCTTACACTGCCTTCCAAATACCAGACACAGTGTTGGTTTCCTTGAACCTCAGGTCTGAACTGTGCACTTCATTCCAGCTTCAGGGAATATTTTCAAGGTAGCTCCTCCTCATACCTGCATACATTTTATTATATTTAATCCTCTACAAATCTCTTGGATAACAAACAGTGGTTTACCTGAAGGCTGAAGAGCAACTGTAACAGCGTCTGTATCCTTTGCACAAGCTGAAAAGGAGGAAAATAAAAGGCATTGGGTACTTAAGCAGAGCTGTTTGGATATATTAGACTTTAAAAAACGTGTTTCAGCAGTGAAAATAGCCCATGGTATCTGTACAAAGACACACACAGTGGAAGCATGGCTACCAGAGTACAGCAGCAGCCAATACACAGGCACAAGGAATTTCAGTGTATTATTCCTGTGCAGATGTGAATCAGTGCCCAGCAAATCTCCCTGGGGTTCCACAGACCACTCCTCACCATCTTCTCTTCACCTGAGCTGTTTAACAATCCCTTCCTCCCACGCTCCAGCCCTGACTCACTGCACAGGCACAGCCCTCACGGGAGGCTCAGTTTGGTCCCAGAGCTGGGAAGGTGCAATCCTGCCAAAGATGCAGGAAAAGCGGTCAGCCAGCTCCTGGAAATGTGTGCTTACATCCCCAGAACCCACCTTTGCTTTCTGTCAGGACTTTTATCTCTGCATTCATCATGTGTCAGAGATACGAGACACAGATTAATCTGTTGGAATCCCTGGACCTTACAAATAATGACTTTTTGGTGGGTTTGTTTGGTTTTTTTTTTTTTTTTTTTTTGGTTTGGTTTTCCATGCTATTATTATAACGTGGCTATTTGCCATTAGACCTCTTAACAGCAGAAATAACCTACCTGAGACTCTATGGTGGGCTGAAAACCACTGCTCTCATCCAGCCTCATTCCATCACCCTGTAAAAAAGACAGAGACACTTGTTGGGCACTGGCAGTGCTGGAAGGGTTCATCCCATGGGGGAACAGGTACTGCTGGAGCAGAGATTGCTCCCATGCACTGAAGGACACACATCAAAAATCCTGAAATCAGAGGGGCCAGGCTGGCACAGGAGCACGGTGATTAAAGGCAGTGTTAATGGTACAGCACCAAACGAGCAAATGGAAAAGTGATTTATCTTGTCTCTCACATGCTAAGCTACCAACTTACCCCACAAAGCATCCTAAATAGAGCTGAGTAATTTGACAGACAAAACTGTTCCAGCCCAGCCCTGCCAGCTATCAGGACTTTTAACTCTGTGAGATTTGTTCTGCACCATTATTATGGTGAGGAACACGAGGAAACGCATTGAAATCACTCATAAAATCAACATACGGTTTGAGATCCTTCTTCTGCATCAGAAGAGAGGTCAGGGACTTGCACGTCTGAACCTGCTGCAGGGCCTCTCCAGTCCCACTGTCTCTGTTCACCACCACTGTTCTTCCTCCCACCTGAAAGAGGAGTGGAGTGTGAGGAGCTCACACCAGCACAGGGCCTGGGGAAACTCAGTGAGTGACAGAGGGAGCACAAAAACGCAGCGAGTGTGACGAACAGAAGCAATTCACAACTGCAGGGCTTCTCCATGCTGATTCTAGCTGGGAGATCAGACAACAAAAAAAAAAGTCTAAAAACTTGAGGAGAGAGGGTTAAAATAAATTGGGAGAGTAAGTTCAAATTCTGTTCCACTATTTTCAGGCAAGGAGCCACGACGTCTGCATGGAAATAATCGGCTGTGGCTCCCGGAATTGCAGGCTCATCACATGGAATACTGGTTAGCAGGAATATTCTATTCAAAGCAGCACCACTGTGAATGTGGAAGGAGGTAAAGCGAGATGGAAACTATCTTGTAAAAAGTACCTATGTTATGACACACAGAGAACATTTCAGAGGCAACAGAAGTATTTTAGGGATTAGCAACCAGCGAAATAAAGACCAACTGGTTTTTTGATAAATGCATGAAGCAAAAATGGAGATAAAGAGTATCTAGTCTTTCCTCACATTTCATTAATTAGCTGATAAATCATCTGTGCCAAAAGGACAATTTGTATTATCTAAGGATTCAGCAAAGCTCTAGTGACTGTGCAGATACCAAGTGGGAAAAAAGTGTTCATGACTCAATAATAAAAGCAGACAGTTGAATTCAAATTTTCTAGGCTTTCAGGTCAAGCTCATTTTCTCATTTTTTTCAACAAAATTAAAATTCTGTGTGGAATTGTGGTAATTACAAAGTATGGGTTAAGGCAATAAAGCATGAGTTATGCTCTTAGTGTAACACTGAGAGCCCTACTCTGCTCTCTAGTGTTGGTAGCAGGAGTAAAAAAATCCAGCCTGCTGGAGATTTGCTCTGATCCTCCTTTCAGAGCCAGGTGAAGAATTTTCCTTATGTGAGAGCCTCAATTCCTGGTTGTCACTCTCTGTGCAGTGAAGGCATTAAAGAGCTGAGGAGCTCAGGAAAATGCTGGATGTTCCTTTTCTTACTTTTACTCGAGACTGAGGGACTGCTGTCATATCCTCCAAAGGTCTCTGCCCTCCTGGGGAGTCCTGAGCCAGAGCCATCCTCAGGCTGGCAGGATCCACTGCCAAAGTGAGTGAAGATAAGGTCCTGGAGGTTTTCAGCTAGGAAAGAGAAGAACACGTCATGTAAACAGCCTTGTGTGTGCTGCCATACAACAAGGTGTCATGCTAAGAAGTGTAAAAAAAAAAAAAAAATGTTTCAACCATCAAGTCCATTAAAAGATCAGGGAGTCAGAGATGTCCTGCAGTACAGATGAGACTCGCTCTGTATGACAGGTTCTTTGCATACAGATGACTGCAAGTTAAGATAATCAGGCCTTGAATGTTTGTTTTTTCTTCAAAAGAGAAATTAAGCCTGTGCTTATTTTCTTTCTAAACATACTATCTTTAGACAGGCTATTTCTAATATACAACCCTCCTATAATATTACATTTCAGGATTGGTGTATTATTAGAGCCGTAAGTTAATTCTTTCTGAACAGACTCATCTCAAGACTCCACTGGTTGATCCTCCACAAATAAACCAATCCAAGCTGTGCAGGTTTTCCACCTAAACCCTTGAGTGCACTCCACCTTTCCTGCAGATCGGTTCTGAGAGCAGGGAAGTCTGAACTGTGTCACAGAAAAATATTGTGCTGTTACAGGGTGGTTTTCAGGACCTGTACTGAAGTCCCAGGTGCTCGTCCCCACCCCTGCAGCTGAGTGAATGCCTGCACAGCCCCACATTCCATCCACCTTCAGTCACTGCAGACTTCAAAATCGCCTCTCCCTGCAGGTTTTCCGAGATCTCCCCCCGGAAAAGCAGCCGAGCTCGGGATCCTTGGGAATGGTCTTCAAAGCCATTCATTTCAGACATCTCTGCATAAATCTGCTGCTTCTCAGTCAGACTTTGCAGGATCAGCTCGTCTTTCATGTTCAAACGCTCTAAAGGAAGGAACAAATCCAGGGTTCAGTTTGGAAGATTATCACTCATTTTATGATCAGAGCAGCAAATGCAGAGATATAATTACCAGTTAAGGGGAAAACCCCATGGAGCAGGTAAAGCTTATTAAGACTCTTCAGCAACTATTTCTATATAATCTTACACCACTTTGAAAGACTTATGAAGGAGAAACTTGATCACATCATGTGATAATAAAAAATTAGACAGTCATAAATCACAGATGCTGCTGAAAAGCAGCTCATGGAATATATAACTGAGTCATTACCTTGGAAATCTTTTAACTTCGCAGCTCTTGCTTCAGCCATCCTCCTCTCTGCTTCAGGTTCATTAAATGTTCCTCCTTCTTCATCAGGACAGCTGCACGAAAGGAAAGACAGATCCATGCTTGATCTACACATTAGATAATTTAAAACCACCTCAGGATTCAACCTGAAGCTTTTGCCTTGGATGTGGGTTATCCTGGGTGTCATTCTTCCTCCTTTATCCCAAGCCCTGTTGCATTTGACATCCTTGAACTAAATTTCTTGGTGTTTTTTGTTTGTTTGTTTGTTTTTTGGATAAAATCAGAATAAAGTCTTTGGCTGGTTTCTATTGCACCTTTATCAGTGGCTTATTCCCAATGAACACAAACAGAAAGGCACAGTAAAGTCTTAACAAGAAAGTTGAGAGAGAGTCAAATGGATTTTTAAGATGAATTTACATCTGAGTGCTGCAAAGAGAAGACAGATGAGCAAGAAGTGAGGCCCTCCTGACTCACCTTTCCACAGCCCTGCGGATGTGTGCCATCCAGGAATTCCTCTCCTCTTTGGAGCTGGTGTGAATTTCATACATTTCTGGTCCTTTTAAGGAAGCACTAATTAAAAACATTGCCTTTTCCTCGTTAGCCACCTCTCTCACAATCAGCTTTTGCAGTGAGATAACTGGTGGTTTGGAGTCCTGCAAAGCAAAATATCATTTATTGCACTGCATTTATTTATGTTCTTTAGGACTTGTGCTTCCCAGCTCCCCCCTCCTCCCACTTACACAGACCCACCAGGAGCTGCAATATCACAATTTAACTCCAACCTTTCCACAGGACACTTCTGACATTGTCATTTTTTTGCCATCAACCTCTGATGAAAATGTGGAATGAAGAATGTACATCTCAAAACCTGACTAAGCTGTGTGTCAATTTAAACACCTTGAGGATTCCCACTGGGTCCCAGAAGTCAAGAACAGCCTCAAAAAAATTTGCTCAAAAAGAAGAAGACTCAAAATTTGAAAAAGAAAACAAAAAAACCCTTAATGACATGTGAATTAAAAAAAAAGAAAGAAGAGACCAAGAGGAAGTGTTAGAGATTTTAAATTGGCAGGTTAGCTACAAAAGAAATAAAAGCCTAACACAGAGGTGCCCTGAGAATAATGAAACAAGGTGACAGATTGTATAACCAGGATTAACTGGATTTGCTGTCAGTCTTTGCAGGGAAAAACACCTTTCCAGAGGGATATTAGTTACTAAAAACCTATCTAGGCTTCATCCAGCACAGGTCCAACATATGCAGCCTGGAAAGTTCCTTCCAGGATAAAGCAGCTCTTTGTAACTGCTGGACCTTCACAGAACAATCCAGAACAACAGTAAGGAACTGAACTGTGAATCAAATCAGGAACATCAGGTTTTTCCAACTTCTCTGAGCAGCCACGAGCAGAGGTCACAGGAAAAACAGAACCACTGAGCAGATCCGTTTGCTCCTCTCACTTGATTTATTGATGGAGAAGTAATATTAAATTTCGAATGAACTGAATAGGTACAAATATGCAAAAAATTGGTCAGTCTCTAACTGCAGAGCATGTTTCCAGAGGGGGGGAAAAAAAATCCACCACATAGCACCCTGTTCTGTGCATTAGGAGGGTAATTTAAAAAGCAGCTGCTTTTTTTTGAGGTCATCAAAATAGCTATTGCCATTAGAATTCAGCTTTAATGTTAATGTCTTTAAAAAAAAAAAAAAAACATCCAAGAAAACAATTCCATTACTGGTTCTATTACAGCCATAACTGAGCTAGATCAGGACAAAATGTACACAATGAACTGCTCTGAGGATACCTGTGGAAATGCCCTGGGAAAGCAAGTGAATGTTCTAGAGTGCTGCAGTAACATCATCTGCATTTACTGCTTCTATCACCTGTGTTTCAGGAAAGTTCTCTGGCCCCAGTAAATCTCAGGGCACTGTGACCACGGTCACCATGTCCCTCATGGAAATGGCAGATTCTTTCCCTGCACATTAAATTAACCGAGGCAGGACTTATTTACAAGTGATTTTCAAAGCACAGTTCTGGTGTGTGTGACGCCTGTGACTTGTACAAAGCCTCAGCCTAAAAAAAATCCAGTGGAAGGGGAAGTCACAGCACGAGCAGAGGAGAAGCAGTGAACCTCAGACCACACTCAGGTCACCAGAAAACCACTGCAGATGTGGATCCAACGGGTTGATGCATGGAAACACTGGTTTGCACTGGGAGACAGTGGGAGGGATTCAACAAGTCCCAGAACTCCTGCAGAAAAAGTGATTCCTAAGGAGTTGGCTGATTTATTAACCTAATTTTCTTTCTGAACCTCTAACAAGTATCTGACACCTCTAATTGTGTTTTTTTTCTGTAGTTGCTGTCACTGTCACAAATACTTTAAGTGCATCTATTAAATATGGAGAACAATACCTACCACTGATGCAAAGGTGTATTTTTGGTCCTTCTCTTGTAAGAGCAACAGTACATCAGTTAGCAGAACTGCCAGAATATCTACAGCAACAACAGAGACAAGAAAAATAAGAAGAAGTCACATTTTAAAGCAGAAAGACTGGTCTAGACTCAAAAAAAAAAAAAAATCACTTATATTTCTTGTGGGTCAGGGAACAGCACATCAACATCTGCAACGTTGGGTCTGCTACTGCCTTTCACCTGGGCTGTCCACACTGTTGAGAACCAGCAAATCACAGACAGAGCTGATTTAAAGCTTGAAAACACCTGCACAGGCATCCTGCACGTGGACTCCTCCAGAGGGAACGTGTCTCCCTCAGCAGCAGATTCTTCTGGAACTGCAGCTGTTCACAGCACCACCTACCCACTCTGGGCTGAATTTTCTGTGCCACTGAAGCTTCTCCTTGAACACCTGAGCAACAAAGCTGCTCAAATATTCCCTGGTGGCCCCACTGTTTTGATTTTCTGGCAAAGCAGGCATTATGCAGAATGGAGGTGTCGTGGGGCTTTGCAAAGTGTGAAGCAGATAATGCCTTTCCACGGGAGACCTGAAGTCAGAATGACTCAAAGCTTTGTCATCCACCTGAAGACCTTCCTCTTGAATTGGGAAGCAGATCAGCCAGATAATAAGCAAACAGCATAAGGAACTTATCGTGCACCATGACAGAGATGCCAAGCCAAGAATAGAACAAGTGCTATCTCCTCCAATATCCTATTAAACAAGCAGGTTATTGTCATCTTATTTTATACCAAATCGATCAGTAATAAACAGTTACTAAAAAAAAAACCCAAAACACCACCCAACATAAATCTTGTTTCCCAGTTGCATTTTTCCCCCCTCCTGGTCCTTTACCTTTGAGTCTCCCTGATGCAGCTTTCCAGTACAGCATCCCATCCAGCAGGAGCCTCCTCTGTCCCATGTCATCCTTCCGGAATAAAAGCCCATTCTTGCATTTACCGGATGATTTCCCCTCCATTTTGTGCATAATCTCCTTCAGTCGCTGCCCCTTCTCACACTCATTTACCATGGCATCTACATGAGTGATGGTGTCCCTAATTAAACTAAGGGCCTGGGTCAACTCTTCGTAATCTCTCGTTCCAGCTACGGGAAAAGAGCAGCAGAGTCAGCCACGTTTCCAACTTTGGAATGCAAGATATGAGCCATCCAAACATCCAAACCTGAAGGGAGGCCACAAGAGAGCTGGAGACTATTTACAAGGAGGGACAGGACAAGGGGGAATGGTCTGAAGCTGAAGGAGAGCAGGGTTAGATTGGTTATTGGGAAGGAATTGTTGGCTGTGAGGGTGGGCAGGCCCTGGCACAGGTTGGGCAGAGCAGCTGTGGCTGCCCCATTTGGAAGTGTCCAAGGCCAGGTTGGACGGGGTTTGGAGCAACCTGGGCTGGTGGAAGGTGTCCCTGCCCATGGTAGGGGGTGGAATGGGATGAACTTTAAGGTCCCTTCTAACCCAGACTATTCTGAGATTCTATGACTCTCTTGACCCTCTGATGAGGTGAGACTGCTCCGGATCCGCACCTAAAACAGCACCTTCAGCCAACAAAGAAGTGAGAAAGCAGCTACCAGCCTGTCCCTGCTCATGTGAGGAAAGAACACGCAAAATATGGCAGAAAAGGCATCAACAGACAACTGTGAGGCTTCTGGAAAACACCTCACCTTCTGTGTTCTGAATGATCCGCTCCACCAGCACCGGGTACTTGGTGATGCGCTGGGTCACCAGGAGGATGCACTCCTGCACCCCGAGCCTCCTCACGATGGGGCAGTTCCCAATTTTCTAGAAAACAAGACAAATCACACCCACTGCACAAGTTGCTCCTCTAACTTCCTCTCCACTCACACGTTTTCTGTCCCACAATGTTTCTGTATGTTAGGCACAGCACCACAAAATTAGCTGCACTCTCTTACTGGGGCAAAACTCCTGGCAACACTCAAAAAAAAATTGGTTTTTAGTGCTGGGAAATATCTTAGGTATTTTTTGCAAGTACTGTTAACTAATTGTGGAGTCAAGCGGGGCAAGTTCCAGATCTGAACTGTATGACTGCCTGTTGCTAACTGATTGCCTCCTCTTAAAGGGTCAGTCCTTAAATACATGTACAAGTATTTTTTTTAAAACCAGACCCAACCACCTAAGAGCCAAATTAGGCCAGTAACAGAGAAATTAAGTGTCTATTTTACCACTGTCTGATCCCCAGCAGGCTGACCTAGAGAAACACATTCCTGCTTAGGCAGGGAGGACTGTAAAGCACAAGTTATTGTGGCTGCTGACACAGCTCAGACCTGGTAGCAGAACACAGTACCAAGATCTATCTTTACAAGGACTAAAATCACATATTTTAAAACTCTGGTCACTTATTTGAAAAGTAAAGAGCTCTCACTTAAAAGACACCTGGTTAAGGTGAGCTATAAGTGTAGTGCTGTGCTGGAAAGTTCACACAGTATCACTTACTGGTGAGTGGAAAATGAGAATATTTAGGCCTCTGCAGAGCCATCTGAGATTCAGGTTACAGCTTCCACTTTGTGTCTCTTCAGCCTTTCCTAGGACTCGCACACTGCAGTGTGCAGCAGATCCACAAACCACCCTGGAGCCAACCTTCTGGCTTTATAAGGATGATGTGGTGGGCAAAACCTGACTTTTTCTACAGTAGCTCATCAACAGCATTTCTCATTGATTTAATTTATTATCAAGCCAGTGATGGCCACACAGCAGGGCAGGCAAGAGACAGAGCCATGAACAGAACAGGTGCTCTATTCCCCAGTCCTTGGTGCTCTCAAGAGCCTGCCTCAAATTATCACCTGCTAATTGTGGCTTTATGTCCAAATAGCTCAAAAGATCTAAAAAATACAAGAAGCCACCAACCCCTCAGACAATGAGAATATTCCTCCCACCCTGCTCATTCACCTTTAAGAGATCTTCAAGAACAGAACAAAGCCTAAAGCAGTGAAGTATATTTTGCATGGTCAGAATGGGAAACCTCTGGTTGCTGTTTACCTTTATTAAGTTTTGGAACTTCTTATTGCTTTGGAGCAGGTCTTTATAATGACCAACAGCTTCATTGTGTCCACAGCAGAACACACCGTATTTTTCCTTCATTCTCTCCCCGTTTTCACCTGAAAACTAAATGGAAATATAAAAATGAAAGGCCTGAGTCATTCAGAGTAAACTTATCTCCACCACAAACTCCTGGTTTGTAGTGTTTTTTTTTTTCCCATCATGTTTTTATGGTGACTGATTTCTGAGACATTTCTTTAATATTTCAATTTCTTCTGTACCAGAAATAAGATTTATGCAGTGTGACAACCTGAGAGCTTGGAATACCACAAGGTAACCAAAAAATGAAATGATTGTCGTTGTGAGAATTTTTAAAAGGATTTCTGGACCTCTGCACTTCAGAAGTCTGAGGACTGTAAAAGCTGAAAGGCAAAAAAGGGGTCATGATATAATCATAGAAATGTTTGCATCCACTCCATGCCAGAATGGTGCTAAAGCTCTCATGAGTTCAGTGGATCTTGACTGCATTTCCCAAAGGTTAGAACCAAGAATTCTCTGCAGAAGAGCCGTGTTTGGGATGGACACCAGGAATACGTGACTTTCCTTTTGGTACAGATGAAAGAGAGGAACAATCAATCTGCAGTCACACATCCCACAATATGTGTAAGCACACGCTGAAAGAACATTCAGTGAACAATCCATGTTGTCTGTGATGACATATTCCTGGGAGTTATGCTCCCACATTGCACTGGGAAGAGAACCTTGAACCCAGGATGAATTAAAATCTTTACATAACATCACTTGACCCTTGCAGTTAGCTTCTCAGAAGTTTCACAGTGTCAACACCACTGGTAGAATTGAATTCCCACCTGTTTTACCAAGAGGTCTCCAATGTTCTGGATGATGTAATTCCGGTCACTGCCTTCTTCCAGGGATTCCTTCCGTCGCTCCTTCAGCTGCAGCAGGAACTGCCCGTGCATCTCCAGCAGCTCATCCACACAGGGGAAGAGCTTGTTGATCACGGCATTGGGGAACTGCAGCTCCTCTCTCATGGCTTTGGAGTACACCTTCAGCATGATCTTCAGTGTCCTGACATGGTGCATTTCAGTTTGCATCAGCTCTGGGCCAGGGGAAATACAAAAATAAAAGTAAGGAGTCATGTATACGCTGTGCAGCGACTGCTGAGATGTAAGAGCAGGCTCTGAAACCCAACATCATCTTCTTCACCACAGCCTTTGCCACGCTCGTGTGAAGCTCCTAAATTTGCCTTGTTAATGTCCCAACACAGCAGTGACTGACCCTGCTTATTTAAGGACATCTCCCAGCGGCTGTTGAGCTGCTCCCTAATTGTACAGCAGGGCTTTGCTGGCTACAGGGGCACACTGAAATCTGGGGGTTGCTTCAAAGCATTCACAGCAGAAACCCTGCACTCTAAGACAGGTACCAGACCTGAAAATCTTCACTCAGCTTTAGTTTCCAGGCACAAGCTAAGAAGTGGAGCCCATAAGAAAGATTCCTGCTTTGTTTCAAAAGAGTGGCACCATGAAATAGAAGAAGTTTTAAGAATAACAAACAAACTCTTACCATAAATGACATCTTGCCTTTTTTTAACGTTTTTGTGTCTATTTGCATAAGCTTGTTCCACTGCAACACTCCAAGACTCTGCCTCAAACTCGTGAGCATCTGTTTCTATCTCACTCCGGAGGGACACAGAATATGCATCTAGACCAAAAGCACATTTAATTTCCATTATTATTGTTTCTCATCAGATCCTTCATTGCCATCATTAGCAACGAGAGTAAAAACATCTCAGTGCTGCTTTAGGACCGTGTAAGAAGTTGCATAACAACCCTGAGAAGCACAGAAATTCCATACCTTCCAGAAAAAAGGAGTCTGCTGTTGAAGGTGCAAGCGAGACAACGTCATCTGAGGTCTGCTTAAATTTTATAAAGCCTGAATCCCCTTCATCCATGTCTCCTGAAATCAGTCTGAAGGGCCAAAGAAATTAGACCAGAGGACCAATAGAGAACGTTCACATTTTTTAAATTACTTGACACAAAAAAAAAAAAACAAAAAACCCAAAACAAACAAACAAAAAATAATCCAACCACCTTAACAAGCCTCTTTCCTGAACTATAGTGCAATTATCTCACAGTGAACAAATAAAAGGCATCATTGCACTCTTTGGACAACTAAATCAATTTGGCAAGTCCACCACTGAAATATTACAGTTTAATTAGAGCAGCATCAGCAGAGTTTGTAACTTCTGATACGAAAGTTTAAAAGGACATCACCTGGTGACAAGCTCCAGTCCAGAGTACAAAGGGTACTTTCACTGGGAAAGGAGCATTACTGGGACACAGCAAAAACAAACAGCTACTTAAAACAGCTGATAGCTTTGAGTTTGTCTGCTATTTTAATCAAGGTATTCTGCAGTTTCAAACACTGCTGTCTGCTACACCTGTCACCACCAGAACAACCTAGAATAGCCGAACTCGGAGGAGATTCCCGAATTTCACAACAATTCAAGAAAAATCCAGCCAGAAAACAGATAATTTAGACAGAGATACTCCAATACTGCCTTGTTTATAGGATATCTTTTGTCACACAGGACAGAGGGACTAAACACAAGGTGATTTAAACAACAACAACAAAAAAGCATATTGTTCAGGAAAACAACTTTCAGCTTTAAAAGCTTCTGAGTTTGAAAACCAACGTTCTGTAACTGCTTTTCTTTTCACAGGAGGGAAGGGGAGGGGGGAGCAGCTGAAGCCAGGGAGTCAGAAAAGGAGCAGTTCACTCACCCAAATTTACTGACAGCTCCGGCAGCGTTCAGTGAAGCCTGAGAGTTGCCTCTCTGGGCGATAGTCATGCCGAGGTTCCGGGACAGCGCTGGGGTGCCATCCGCTCCCAGGAGGAGACTTCGGGGCTGCTCCTTCAGGGAAGTGGCTAAAGAGGCAAAAATGGAATTGGTGCTCAGAAAGTGAGGCGGGCACTGCAGCTCGCCTGCCCTCAGCCCTCGCTCCGAGTGCGGCCGCAGCACCGACAGGATCTTGGATGTCAAGAGCTCGTTGTCCAAAAAAACGTTCTCATTCCATTTCCTTGAAAAGGAACCACAAAAAGACAGCTCGGGGTGAGCTGGAATGGCATTGCTCCTGCCGCTGCTTTTTGAATTTGTATTCCCCATGCTCGCCACTGGCTGCCCTCTCAGACTTGGCACAGTAAAGTGGCCCCAGAGATGCTCTGTTTTTATACTACCTGTGATCCTTCTAGAAATGTAAAGCTGCCACTTAACTTACTGTATTGGCTAAATCAGCAGGTCTGAAGTGCAGGAAATTGGTCCCTACTGTGCCCATTTAGTGTGGAAATTGCAAAGTATCTTCTCCTTTAGTAAAACACCAGAACCTACACACAATTATTCACACCCCACCGTATAAGGGCATAGAACATCTCGTGGCAAACAAGAAAAATCAGAGATCGCAGAAAAACCACAAGTTCTCTGCAATGCTTATTGCTGGCAGCGATTTATATCTGCATGCACACACACACACTGCACATAATAGATACCAGAGCTAAATTTAATTTTAATACTGCAGCTTTTTAATGCTTTTTAGATCTAGGCAGACTGTGAACTGGAAAAGATATTTGAAACTTTAATCACTATTACACAATACGTGGAAGCCTGTAATAGACTTATAAAAAATGGATACAATTATTTAGCACTAATGTCTGTAATGAGTGATAAGGACCAGGAGACAAAATACATCCTTTTAAAAAGGGAACTTCAGGGGAGTCAAAGACTCAGCCAGCCAGTCTTCAGAACTGGTCCCTGCCAAGGTCTGCAGCTGCCCTTTTTTCAAAGTGCTTTTGAGGACATGGGAGTGGGAGAGATCTCTTGGATCCCTGAACCCAGGGCTCAGAGCAAGCTCCTGTCACAGTCCAGTGTCAGGGAGGTGCTCCAGGACCAGGAGGTTGCTGCTGGGGGACTTCAAGGGGGTCCCCAGTTCCCAGACAAGGTTTATGTGTCACTGATTTACATCTTTTCTAGTACACGCTGGTGTCCAACCACCCCCAAAAGTTCCTCCCCAGTGTACTTCCACTGATAATTATCTCTTCCTCCACGTCTACCTTGCTCAGTGAAGCACAGTTAAACCAAGGTATTTGTGGTTCTTCCCATGAAACAGGTTTTCCTACATTTTTGTCATATCCCGTGCTCTACGTCTGCTTGTCTCTCATTTCATCTTCACTGACACACGGATTGTTTTAGGGCTGCAGGGGAGGTTTCATCAATGACATTTAACAGACGTTATATCACCACATCTTTTCCTGCTGGAAATACCCTTCCCAAAAGCTTGGCTTTGAAAGCTCCTGGCTGTACACCCAGAGCACATTCTCAGTCTGCAACAAACTGGGTAAACTGAGTCCTTTCCACCAGCTCCAAGCCCCAAGAGGAGACTAATTAGATATTAGCATGATTTGTCAAGGTAGATTTCTTAAGCAAAGCCTTAATAACCAACACCCTCCCATCTCCACTTGGAGAAGCACTGAAATCATGGCCATCGAGTTCTCTTTCCCTGCTCCACAAGCCAGGAACATCAAGTTTGGTTTCCCAGTCACAGGAATCTCCAGAGGCACAATGTGGAGAGAGGGATAGGAGACACACAGTTTATACCTTTCTTAAAATTAATTTCTCTTTTACACTGATTCAACATCTTTGAGTTTTTTTTTTTTTTTGCTGGGCACTGCAGCGTGCAGGGTTATGCTGTGGGTAAGAACATCCAATGCCCAGGCTATTAGCTGTGCCTTTAATTTCCAGTCTCTGCTTTTGACCATGGAAAATGAGCACTGGCTGCCTGGCAGAGTCTGCACCGAGAAAAAGCCATTTTCTGAGTTCAATTAGCACTGTCTGCTCACTGCTGAGAGCCCTCATCGATCGCTGTTCCCCTCACACAGACCAGGCTGTGGTACCACAGAGCTGCTCACCACCAGCCCCACAGCCAAGTGCTCCCATTTCATTAGCCCTTCTTCCTATTTTAGCCTCTGCACTTTCTCCTAAATGCACAGACTCCTTCTTGGTCATGCAAACAGCCACTCATCTCCTTACAACAGCTGTTCCCCTGCGTTACTTCTTGGTAAGAATTGTGTCGTGAAGAAGCCACCTCCTGATGTAAATGGCACCTGCAATACCCAGAGCAGTGCCCAGGCACCCATGTCAGCTGTGTTCTGACAGCTGCCAATCAAATAAACCTGCTCTAGTTCCACCCAAACACCTCAGAGGAAATGAGTCTGTTCTCTTAACGCAGACCTTGTAACATCTACGAATTAAAATGCCATTTACAACACCTGTGACCAAAAAGATATTTCAGAGCTTATGCTGCAAGACAGCTGTTCTTTCTTCTTGTTTGTTTTTTTTTTTTTTTAACCTCCCAGATCCTTTTTTCCTACTTTGTTTCAGCAAAGACTTATGTTCAGACCATTAGTGCTAGCTTGTCTTAGAGATTTCTAGCAACCACTAGCTGCAGGCAAGTTTTAAATAGACAATTATGAAAATCTGATGTAAAACAAAGTTCACAGTTCTAGTCTTTTCAGAGGCCAGAGAATAGACAATCAATGAAAAACGAGCTTATTGATCCCTTTTCACCATGATATTTTGAGGTTACACAGCAAGAAGGCATAAAGAAAAATAAAAAGATAAAGAGATAAAAACACACAGGAGATTGCCAGGAGCCTCTAAGCCATTCCCAATAGAAAAAAAAATGAAGCCATCTTATTAAAAGAGACCTTCTCTCTACTTCAATAACACACCGTGTATAGCCTTTAAAACATATTAAAGAAAAAAAATACAATCGAACAGATAAGCCTTGAGCACAGAAATCATCCTTTAGTACAAACCTGGGGAAATGCACTGGGGCGAACTCTGTGGAGATCCAGAAGGTCTGTGCTGCAGATCTTTCTGCTGCAGGAAAAGAGACAATATTCTTACACATACACAGCAAACTTTCAGTCCAAAAGGAATCAGATTTTTCCTGTGCCATAGCACTGGCTGTAAGTGAAGCTCTACGCTGAAAATACGAAAAGATTTCATGCAGCGACAGCTTGGATTTTTTTCATGCGTCAGAAAAGTGGTATATGGACTTAACACCTGGAGTAAAAATCCCAGGAAGAATAAATCAGGCTGAAATACAACTAAAAATGAAGCTACAGCTGAATTGAAGCGATGATAATTAATGCATTAAATGAAAGCAGACCTTTTATGCTGACAGTCTTCACCCATTCTTTACTGTTGTTTAATTTACAGCAATACTGACTAAACTAACCCAGCCAGTGTCCATAAAAATTTCAAAACTGCATCTTTGGTACATCTGTACAACTTTCTGCAACCTTCTTGCATATTAAAAACCATTGAGATACAATTAACTAAGTAACACAAGGCTGTAACAAATGGCTTTTGGGGGAGCTTCCCTTTGGGGTTCTCATTTCTGACTTCCTTCCTCACCCCATTTTGTGCCAGCCCTCCCTCCCTGCTCTCTTCAGGAGTGGTTTGTCAGGGCTCATTCTGCCAGGAAAGTTTGGGTGATGGTGGTGAAGAGTGGGAAGTGAAAGCACCAGAGCAAGTGAACCTTTTGGTTTACAAGGAAAACGCACAATGGCCCGAGATGTTTAAAATTATATCTCAAAAACCCCACAAGAACATTTCTGCCCCCAAAAGAGTTCCATTCTATATCACCAATGGCTGAAAGCACTTCCTCTAACCTCTAATTGCTCAGGTCTGAGCTGCTCTGCTCTCTCTTTTCCCCCTCACAGTACTCCCTAATCTGCTATCAGTCTCTGAAATCATCAACACTTGCAGGTTAAAACAAACTAAAACTCCCTCAAGTATTATTAGTTATAAGGGGGAGGAAATGCTTTTCAAAAGCAATAGCAGAATAAAAGACCCTGGCAGACAGACATCTCTCTGAAACCAACCTGTGACCTTACGTGCAATCACAGGCACCACGGTGACACAGATTAAAAACCAACAGCTTTGCAAGGCAAAGTTCATCACAGTTCACAACGAAATAACTTATTCTGCATTGCCCAGCTCAGAGACAACGTGCAACTGTTATGCCCACATTGCCCTCCCCCCCTCAACTCTGACAGGGCACACCTATTAAAACACAGCGGCACAGAACTCAAAGGCACCATATAATTTAATTATGTCCCCCCCCAAAAAAGTGATGGGTTTGAGCATCCTCACAAGGGTTAGTCCCAGTTCTGAGGCACAAGGGAAGTCATTTTCAGTACAGCAATAAAATGTTTCACTTTATTTCCCCTCCATACATTAGCATTAATTACTATAATGACAAGTTAATAACTACTCGATGTGTTGAAGATGTAGGGCAAGATTCTGTGCTGGTGTAAACTAAACCACTCACAGAAATTAAACTTACTTAAAAAGCTTGTCATTATAAAAGAAGAACAAATGTTAGAGCCCACCTTGGGTCTGATGCTGCTGCATTCAGCCAGCAAGCTCCTGCAGTTCTTATGGACATTCACTGCACAATCTGAAACACACACAAACAAAACAAGGCTTAATTATCCTCCTCATTCCCACCGAGGGAAAGGAGAGGTGACACATCATGGATCTCAGTTTTGAAAGAGATGCAGAGTAAGCTCGGGTGTTTTGGCAAAAGCATCCTCGTCGTGGTCTTGATTTTACAGCAAATACTCGAGTTTTTTTCAGTAAGGCTCAGGATCACTGACAATCACACATGGAGGCACAAGGAGCCACTCTGGAATGCAGGAGCAGCTCTCTGCCTGAGCTGCACTCAGAGCACAGCCTTCCTCAGCTCTGCCAAGGTGATCTTCCCCTGTCTCTCCAGTCAAAACCCACACCACTCGAGAGGGCAGCAATTTCTTTGGCTCCACAGGAATAGCTGCCTTTCTGCACGGAGCATTGCTGGGGGCTGAGGCAGCTCGAGTAAATTAAAGATCCAAACACACCCCAGCATCATCAGAGCACTGCCAGCACCAGAGCATTACCAGCACCTCAGCATTACCCCTCTGCAGCTCCACCAAGGAACTGCTCCCAGATTCAGGAACAAAAGCAGAGCCCTCTCACCCAAAAACCATAAACCCATTAATAGTCCAGTAAAATCCAACTCCTTTTTTTTTCCCCTTGTGGTAACTACTGCTTGACAAAACAGAATGGCAATTGGTGGTGTTAAATATTTTCCACGGTCTTTCAGCCCATCTAATAATCAAGATCCCTCAGGAAAAACAAAGCAGGACGCAGCAACTGAGTAAAGGACATCAGGATTTGTGTCTTGCCATAGATTTCAGGCATGCCTGTTAAAAATTGAACAAAACTGGGAAGATGAACACCACATCTGCCATGGAAAAGCATGTTTATGTTTAAAGCACAGAGGAAAAACTATGAAAGGTCTCTTCAGAACCATCCCCCCCCTGCCTGGCGCCAGGACTGGGGATCTGCTTGAAGGCAGAGCCAGAGAAATGCTCACTTGTGTTTTCCATAATTTCACAGAGAGTCTGAGAACAGGGCCAAAACACTTCAACAGAAATAAATTAATAAAGATATAAAAACAGGACTGAGAGAAAAGACTGAGTGCACAGATCTGCAAGGTGCTGACACGTTATGCAACTTCCTCGAGTGTGGGAAATAAAGTGTACAGTTCTGCTCACAAAAAAAAAAAAAAATGCCACAAGGACAATCATCTCCCACAACTTCTCTCTTATTTGGGATATTCCTACCACTACCACATCCCACACCACAAGCCAAAAGGCCCTTCATCTCATTTCCAATGTAAGTGCCTCTGCAAATGCATGAGAAAAATGTATCAGAATTATTCACTTGCTAAAACCATGGAGAGAATAACAAACATATTCGTTATTTCAGCACTGATAAGGCCTCCCCCCTCTCACCAGGAAATGAAGAGCTTGTTAAAAGACATGCCTCAACAACAAACGGGCAGTTAACAATGGAAACCACTTTTCTCCTGAGACAAAGGAACAAACTGGGCAACAAAAATGACCACACAAAGGGAAACAGAGAAAATTCTCCATGACATCAGAGTCCTGCTCACAGACAGGTTCCTTTCAGGGCAGAACATGAGCACTGTTGGGGGGAGTGATCCTACAGCCACTGCCTTCCCACACAGTCTTGGAATCCACTGCATTTATCTAGAATTCTGAAATATGGTCATCTTTATGCATTTTACCAAACTAGACATGCATATTCCCTGACACTCACCTGTTTTCAGTGATTACAATCAGTAATTCTTTTCCTGCCAAAGATCAGTGGGACCAATTCCAGTTCAAAAGCTCGGGAACCTCGTTAAGGTAACTGTAAAAGGGATCTCGCTTAAAAACGGGTTTCAATTTTAAACCCATGCACTTGCTCAGTCAAAGATAACAACTTACAGCCCTCTCAGTAGGTATTTTTCACTTCATCAGCTGACATATCTAATAGTGCTGTGCACGACTCTCCTGTGCTGCAGGAAGATTCTTTACACAACAGGACAGAACATACTAGAAAACAGGAAAACGCTACAGAAAAGCCCCAGCAAACTGCAGCTGAATCCAAGGACTGGATGATCCACGAGGTTGTTTGAAATGCATTTACTCCACCATTTCCAAGGGGCATTGTTTCTGCCCACAATTTTGAAACCTGACAGAAGAATCAGGCTGTTTTATCAGCACACTTCACTTTATAAGACGTGCTCCACCTTCCCCTGTTCCACACACTTTTGCAGTCACTGCTGAGGGAAGGACACCCCAGTTCAAGAGTAGAACAAGCTTTTCAATACCAGTGAATGTGGTTTCCTTTTTCCTGCATTTAAAATCTCTCTATTCTTTATTCTTATTACCCTGCATTCTTATTCAGCCTCTCTGAACAGGGTACCAGAGAACTGCACGGGTCAAGGAACAGGTGAAGAGCAGAATGAGGGGCAGGGGACAGTGAAGGAGTGACAGGAACCCACACACTTGGAGGCTGATGTTTTAGGATGTGAAGGGTTGTTACAGGTGTATGGAAATAACAAAACTATACCCTCTCCTGTCATCCAAAGGAAAGCAGCATCAGGAAACTCAAAACTGACAAAGAACAGTATTTTTTGCACATCCCATCAGTGACTGGCAATTCTCACCCAGCTCAAGAATTTGGGATCGTGCGAAAATTAAAGGGACAGTTCTTGTGGCAAGCTCTTCCCAAACTGGAGAGGCACAGGAGGCATTCCTGAGAAAGGCAGAGATAAAAACTCGGAGCTCTGCAGCCAGGCTCTTCCCTGTCTTCTCCCTCCATCACTCCCTGGAGCTGCAGGAAGGAAAAGCAGGTTCTGTGCAGGATGACAGAAGGGCCACAGCTTTGGCCAGTGCTGAGAACACCAGGGAAAGTGCCAACACACCGACAGGATCCAAGGATTTGGGTCACCTCGGGTGGATGGGAACAGCACCACTCCTAGAGCTAAAGGTACAAGAGCCACTGACACCTCCCAGGGGGTGGGAGTTGAGCAAACCCACTGTGGTTATGCCTGGGCTTTAATCAACAGCTTTGGAATTAGGGCTGAGAATTTTGGGAGCATCCCATTATTCCAGATCTGCTTACTGCAGGGATTGTCACTCCCTCCAGAGCATTTTGCAGGGGCCAGTGCCAGCGATGACCTAATGACAGAGCAACTGAAACAGCAGCCTCAACCAGCAACAAAATATTTAGG